TTAGATGGATTTAGTGCTGGTGCTGCATTTGTACAGAACAAAGTCCCCGAACCGATGCAGCGAAGCAGAAGTGTTGCTCCTGTAGCCTGTTTTAGCTGCCTTGAATGAGCCCCTGAGGCCAGGCAGGGGTCTCCTCGTGCTCTGGATTAAACCAGTTCCGCACCGTGAGGGTGATCGCCGCCGCTTTGTTACTCATGACTGTTTTCAGGCTTCAGATGGATTGGGCTGGTGACTGGATTAAAAAAGCCCACGGGCTTTGAATTCGGGTGGGTGCAGGCAGAAATACGGGCAGGAGCGTCGGCTGCTCCAGGATCTACGGATTCGGTGCTTAGGAAGAGAGGGATCCGCCACGAGAGGGAACGCCGTAGGCTCTTTCGCTTAACTGCTGCGTCTCCCTCTGCATCCAGAGCTCACGAAGAAGCAAACGCTGCGAGGAAGCTCACGGCAGAGCAGCGAAAGGCCAAGAAGGTGAAAAAGCTGAAAGAAGACGTCTCACAGGGCGTTCACATAGCCGTGTACAGGTGGGTGCCGGGCCGGGCGCGCTCGGCCGCGCGTCACAGCGCGTCTCCTAAATAAACCGGCCGGGTGCCCTGGAGAAAGGTGCCTTTGGTAGCAGGATCGCACACCCGCTCGTCAGGTTTTCCAGAGAATCCGGCCTGTAGCGATGGCACTGTCCCAAAAGATGAGTCCGTTAACTCTCCTTAACTTGGGGTGTGGCAGGTTGGGAGCGTCACGGCTGGGATTCGGGTTTTGGATGAGGAGAGCCGTTTCCTAGGGGTCAGTGCTGACCCTGGTGCACTGATGCCCAGAAACCGGGGAAATCTTCAAGATGTAACTGAAACGAGAGCGGGAGGGGCTGGACACAGCCGCTCCGAGCGGTCGGATAACAGTCACGTGTCGCTTTGAGGTGTGACACAGCCCCTGCGGAGCCGGAGGAGGAGATGCTGGACCCGGTCGAGGCGGCGTAGGGACTTTGTAGGGCTTTTCCACAAACCTGTGTTGATTTTGTTTTGTCCTTAGGGTCAGAAACTTGAGCAATCCGGCCAAAAAATTCAAAATCGAGGCGAACGCTGGCCAGCTGTACTTAACGGGCGTGGTGGTTTTACACAAAGACGTCAACGTGGTCGTGGTAGAAGGAGGTGAGGACGTGGGTAGCGTTGGAAAGCTTGCCCCTAGCGAAAGCTCCTCCGAGAATCGCTGGCGCAGGGTTCTGGGAGGATGAGGAAGTGCGGAGGCCGTTTGAAACTCCCCTAATTACGGCTCTGAGGGGGTTAGCACCGAGCGTGGAGCGCGCCGTAACCCGGTTAGAAAACCCGGTGCGTTGGATGCTGAAGGGAACAGCGCTTGATTGGCAGCCTTGAGGCTCGGCGTGCCGAGAGCCTCGGTTTGGGTCGTTCTGGGTCGTTTTTGCGAGGTGTCCAAGGGCCCATTCGGCAGCAGGTTATCCCAAGGGTGGCCGAAAGCCGGGCGCTGTGCCGAAGGATGCGGGATAGGTTGGCCCACCCTGCTGGGGGGGGGTGCTGGATTGGCCTGGCTGAGCTTTTCCCACCATGCCAGGGCAGCCGGGTGCGCTGGGAGGTGTTTGTGGGCGTTGTTTGGCTTCTGCTCCTGAAAAACAAAGGTGAAAGGGCTTTTTGTGGGTCTTATTTCGCCAGGCCCGAAAGCACAGAAGAAATTCAAACGCCTTATGCTTCATCGAATAAAATGGGACGAGCAAACATCCAACACAAAGGGAGAGGGTGAGTGTGGAACCGTGCGCGCCGGGGTGGTGAAGCGGCTCTTTGGGGCTAAAATTTGCTCAATCGGGGGGTTTTATTTCTTTTCAGATGATGATGAATCCGACGAGGAGTCCGTTAAGAAAGCAAACAGATGCTCTCTGGTTTGGGAGGTGAGTCGTGGGCGTAGTTTGCCGGGGGGTGGGGATTAGGGGGGAAGCCAGCCCGGTCTGACAGCAGGCTGAGGCAGAGGCCGCGTTGGGGCCTTCGGGTCGGATATGAACCTTCCCGCTCGGACTCCCAGAGTGTGTCTCGAGCAGCGGCAGCGCTGGGAGCGGCTCCCTGGCGCGGTGCTTTGCTTCCCCCAGTCATGCCTCAGCCTGCAAAAATGTTGATTCCCGAGTCCCCGGGAGCTGCTTTTCCCCTGAAGGTGGGTCAGAAAAAGGTCCCTTTTCCCCCTCGCAGGGCACCGCGAAGGACCGCAGCTTCGGCGAGATGAAATTTAAGCAGTGCCCCACGGAGAACATGGCACGGGAGCACTTTAAGAAGCACGGGGCGGAGCACTACTGGGACCTGGCCCTCAGCGAGTCGGTGCTGGAGTCCACAGACTGAGGGGAGGGGGCTGCCCGCCGCCCCCCTTCCTCGCACCACAACCTCCCCCCAAGCCCCCGCCGGCTCTCGGAC